AACAGAGTTTGATTGTGATATTTTATCTATCCACCAAATATATGCACTTTACAGGAATTTATGCACTTCTTCACACATCAGTCTGGACCCGTATTCAGAAAGTATTTTACCTTATCACTAAGGGTACTCCTAAATCGCACTAACGTAGTTTTTAACTGAGTTTTTTCCTAAAACTGATTCACAAAGTGGTCGAAAGCAACTTTTTGCCTGCAATAACCACGGGGATTGGTTGATGAGAGGCCGGTATGTGCTGGTGAAAATGTACGCGTGACATCCCATAAACACAAACATAGAATGAAACTACTTATAGTGATCAACCGCTTATATTGATCAAAAAGCTTGGGACAGAATAATTCTTGTACAAATACCGTTTAAATAATTCGGTAGTAATCGCTTATAGTACTTTTTGGTCTTTTTAAGCATGACAACATATGGAAAAAATAAGACTACATTTTTCTTACTTTACTTTGATCGCCCTACTTTGCCTTGCGGTAACCCATCTGCGTCTGTTTAGCTATAGGCTAACAGGCTAATGCTGCGTGTTCAGGAAATAGGACGGGAAGAAGTAAGGCATTTTCTCTCTCAATCACGAATATAGACTCATCAAAGTTTATGATAAACTGCCAAAACCGAGCCAACAAGATGGAGCAGTGACACTACACGTACTTTAGGTACAGTACTCTATTATAGCGAATTATACAGTTCAGTAATTTGAAAAGCATTTGAAACAGCTGTATTTTGAATGACTCAAAATTCAGTAGGCCTACATAGCGATGCTCTCCATTTTATTACCTTATATTCGTGTAATAAATATATACATTTCAATTAGATGGTAATCTGCCTAAGACATAAAGGAAAAAATCGGTTATAGTGATCACGGTTCCGTTGTATTTGATCGGGATATTTCGGTTTGTTGGATTTTGCGTCCCTCACAAGATCCACGACAATCATTATTCCCTCCTGACTGAGGCGGTATCCTTTAAGTAATTCAGCATTCGTTTAAAGTCTCTAAGACATTGCGACGTGGATTGACAGCAGCCATATTGTGAATGTTTGTGAGCTGGTCTTAGTGACTTAGGAGTCCTCTCGACTACTTTTTAGTTTGCCAGGACTTAGGTGCTACTTTTAGCGCTAAGGGGCTTTGTGAATTGCTCTTAGTCAAAAAAATTAGGAGTCCAACATTTAGGACTGACACGTCCATTATTTTTAGGAGTTTCTCCTAAATCCGCAAGTTAGGACTTTTAGCCGTAAGATGCTTTGTGAATACGGGCTCTGGTTTCTAGAAGTAACTGATCTACTAGTATCCCATAATTTTATCACTTTTCTGCACTGACTGCAAGAAAAACAGCAGTTCCTACAGTTGACTCCTTCTACTTGAACCTGTACATTATGCTACATGAAATGTCTTCATTGTTTTATTGTGGTTCCTCCAACTTGAGGGCAAACAATGTTCCTCCAAGTAATACTGTGAGAGGCAGGGTCCATCTTAGCTGCACGTCCAGCTTCCCATTATTCATTCTCATTGCTGTTCTGTCTCAAGTATGCAAAATTCTGAACTTTAGCCAGATTCTGTCCCTCCATCTCTCCACTTGTTGAGGCCCTTTCCTCGATTTCAGCAGATCCCCTTCGTCCTTGTCATGAACGGCAGGCATCATCGCAGTAGGTGGGAGGGACCTGAACTACAGACAACTCCTCGCTGTAGATCCTGGTGTCTCGAAATGCTTGTCCAGGAAGAAGCCTTTCTTCCTCTGCCGTGGACATGCTTGTTGATGCTGAACAGAGTCTCAGTTCTAGACGTTAAAGAGATCAGCGGAGGAGTTGTAAATGGAGTTGATGCGCTGTACGTAGCTGGCGTAGGGCTCTACCTCCTCCGCGTCCTGTGGCTGGACGAAGCAACACAAATCCATTTCAACAATCCAGGCATGTGAACTAATTCTTTAAAAATGCCCCATGACTGCATTAGCAATGAGAAGATGGATGGATGGATGGATGGATGGATGGATGGACAAACAGACAGACAGTAAGCCTTTGTGTAAATCCTTTGTAGCTAATGTCATGAGCATAAATTGCTTTAAAATATATAATCCTTCAATACAGTAAATTATTATACTTTAATATAGTAGGATATTTTAATTAAGGAAATATATATCATAGTAGGATATATAACTAAGGAAAAGTCACAAAATGCATACATACATATGAAATATTTCACTATAGACTTTCCTTTGCAACCTTCTCTCAAGACATTAAACTAAGCTTGACTAATTAAAAAAATATGCCACTTTTATTTATAATACAAAAAATGGTGGAGATGGAATAGATCTGGAGAAAAATAATACAGTTTCAGATAATGACTGCTGTTCCAGAGCATATAAAAATTCTTGTGTGGCTTCCTGGGTATATAGTTTCAAGCTTACTAACGCTTCTCACAGTTATTGCCAGGATTATACACACCTTCACTGTCGTCTGTGGGGGTGGAGCTGACAGGCTGAACTTGCAACAATTTCTGGAGGGTAAAAGATCAGCGTATAGTAATATTAATGACATCTTTTTGTTTCAAATATAATCTGTACAGGGAAAAAAACTGAAAAAAAAATCCTTTATGGTTTTTCCTAAATTAAATCAAGTGTAATGAATCCTTCATAGGCTTACATACCTTATCTTGCTGAGATGTTTCCTTAAGATATAAAGTCCAAAAAGTATACCCATTAAAAAGCAGACCAGAGCCAGAGAGATAATTATCCAATGCCATGATTCAAAGGTTCTGTCTCTTAATGGGTCTGGAAAAGAAAATCATTGTAAATCTGCCAGGTCAACACAAAAACAGTCATGCATGTTTCTAATGAAACTTAATATCATGTTAGTAACTAAGTCCACATTTACATAAATGTAACACATACCGGGGAGCTGAAGTGTCTGAGTATAATTCTCTGTCCAGCTGGGGTGTGTCACTATGCACTGCAGCGTGGTACCATGCACATGGTCGGGCAGTTTGAGCCGGATCTCCATGGTGTAGGAGCCATCTGGGTTGTGTACAGAGCTGCTGGTTACATTGGCGTTCCATGAAGTTCTCCATGAGATGGAGACGTCTGATTTAACCCCTGTGGCTGAACACACAGCTTCTCTGTGGTCAGGGTCCAGTCGGGTGGAAATCTGTTGAGGGACTGCAGAGATACTCATTATCACAATTATGAACATATATTCAAATATAACATTTGATATTGTGTACAACTAAGGAACTGTTGTTTTAATTAATCAAATTGATTTTAAAAAACAGGGATTACTACCCCATAGATAAGATTATTTTGATAAATGTACTTACATATTTTCTTACCTTTGGCAGATACATTTATTACTACTTTACTGGATCCACCGTGGTACACTGTCTCACACTGATACCGTCCTTCATCTCGTTTTGTAAAGCGAGGAATGTACAGGTATGTTTCTCCGTTTGTGTTGTTGCGCAGGATCTTTCCATCGTTACATGTATCATGTTTAGAATCGTTATCACTATGCGCCATTCGACACCGCTTTCCGTCAATGTCTATCGTCCAGGTAATGAAGATAATCGAAGCCCATGTCTTATTGGAGCAGTTCAGAGTAACGCTGCTATTCAAGTCAAAGTACTCACTTCTGTATTCTGTAAATGCTGGGTGATAACAGCAAAAGTAGCAAAGATACATGATTAAGATACTATAGTTTTGACATACTGTAATGTTTAATGTAATATGCAATCAAATAGTAAAATAATACATAAAAATATACAGTTAACATATTTCAATGGACTTATTCCACCATGTTGACCCTGAATGTGTAAATTAAGATGAAAACACTACACTTCCCATTTCTTAGCAATAATGCCACAAAAGCTCATGTCTGCCAGAAGTTTTGTCTTATCTCTGCAGGACACTCAAGTAGACACAAGAACAACAAGCTTTATCCTATTAATACTGTATGGAAATGGCAGATATGTGGACCACTTCCTCATATTCCTTCTACAAATGGAGCTGAAATCTAAGAATAACACTGAGACTCGGGAAGCACAAGAAACGTTGATGTTATAATAAAAACATTAGTTACCATCTGTCGTTGTGGAAATTGTATTTTGTGCGTATGCAGTGGGGTTAGTATCCTGCATGACTATAGAGCTATTTCCTGAGAGGAGGAATTACATACTTTGTTAGTGAGAAAGTATAACATCATGTTAGTAGGACAACATACAGCTTTCATCATTTGGTAGAATCTCATCTACCAGCTTACATCAAAGCTTTTCTTAATTTCAGAGACTCATTCTCATTGTTTATGTTAGTTAGGTTAAGTTATACATTCTGTTAGTAGGTAAAATCAAGGTTCATTTTGCAGCGGTAGCGTTCTGTCGCTTAGCGTTACTTCTGTATGAATTGTGAAATGTTATCAGAGATGTATCAGACATTCATATTATCACAATCACAACAAATAACAACAACTATGCAACTACATGCATTATTTTTCAGGTGTGATATTTCAGGCATACAAATGTCATTTTGCTTTTTAAAATACAACTTCTACAAAACAAACTAGCCAGGCTACCAAAATAACCAGGCTAAACTCTTTTTTGCATATATACCCCCATGAAATATTTCTTATTATAGTGAATCTGCACCATCTATCCAACAGGTGTCAGAAAATACACTTTCTTTGGACATTGCATCGAATAACTCATTTAAGGTCTTCTAAATGCTTTTGGTCGTGTTTACATGATTTCATGGGTATGGTTGTTGAAATTATGAAAATTACCTTTTATTGTTTCTCACTCTCATACACTGGAAATCAGACTTAAACATGTGCTGCTCAACTTGAAGGGAAAATTTGAAATGAATTGAATTGAAAATTTCACCTCAAAAATATTGTACGAAGCAATTTTGTAAACCTTCCTGTCACATGACAATAAGTCTTAAGAATTTCAGCTCAGTATGGTAACATACCTTTTGCCAGAGTGCCAAAGACGTAAAGGTTCAGAAGTAAGACAGACTTCCAGATTTTCAGGTTCTCCATCTCTCATTAGGTTCTCCGTGGCTCTTCAGTCACATCCTCTGAGAGACCTGGTGACAAACTGTCGTTGTTTCTGAAACGGCTCGAGCAGAAACCCTAACTTCCTGACGCCTGCACACTGCTCCCCTGGTCACATGTCTGCTGTTTATCTGCACTGGAAAGTTTGGGGCCTCGCAGGCGTCACCACGTATTTGATTTGAGGCCTTTCGGGAGAGATATCGTAAACTGACTGACTAATTCATGCTAAAGTGTTACTACAGAATCCACAGCTTCCGCCTTTCTGCTCTTTTGTGTGATTTTTCTGTAATTAAATTGAAAGCCAAGCTTATGATTGCCCATAGAAACAATATGGAAATCTCCACTTAGCTTTCAGATTCTTCTGGCATATCACAGCATTGACATATCGGTGCTACTTTTCAATCAAAACATGGATACGAAGTTTATCAATTAAGCGATACATTAAAAAACTGTCAATTTGTATCTAATAGTTTTTGTGTTTTGAATGTATACCTGCCTAAACAGTAGTCTGATACTGTTCGGACACCAGGACAATTTGAATGGTATGCTACTCACTGTGGTGCCCATAAGGATGGATGGAAGTATATGTATTTTTTGTGTGTTTTGCTATTGATAAATTAAAAACAGATTTAACTGATGTGAGGCCGCAGTGTATTGAAGCGTCCTCTCTGTCTTAAGGGGACAGTAACATATCATCTTACCCAACGGTGAATTATTGTTTTTGCATTTTTCTCCCAGGTAATTTTGTTTGCAGGATCGGCGAGTGTGGAAGCGGATGGGCGCACACATGTAGTGGAAAATAAGCCAAGCCTTTTATTTATATTTAATGTCCTTTTTTGTGAATTGTTAGTTCTTACCTCTGTTGTAGTGTCTTGGTTGATAGGAAAGGGTGCCTCTGTTCCAGGATGGCTACAGGGAGGTGGGGGTGCATACAAAGGTAGGAATGCTATCCTGGGGGGGATTAATAAGGGTAAATGCTCGTTAAGAGTAAATGGGGTTGTTGGGTGTTTGTTTGGATGGTTGACATGGGCAAGAGACTATGTGTTTATTTCTGTAGCCTCATCTTATTTTCCTTTTGTCCCTTTTGGTAGGATGTTACCCCTGTAGCCAGTGGGGAATGGTAGTTTCCAATTAAAGGGGTGGGGGCAAGGGTTTATAAGATGATGGTAGGGGTTCGGTTTTTTTGGCCCATTTACAGTAGCTGTGCACTCTAGGAGTTGGAGATCCTCAGATGTGTGAGGACTTGAGGCCACAGTTAAGTCTGATTGTTGCATGTGCTTCCTTTTGCTTGATGGTTATTTATATCAGTTCTCTTTTGAGGTTTTTTTTGTTTTTTCCTTTATTTTTCTTTTTGTTTCTTGTGTGCTTAATGGGAGAAGTCAGAGCTTAAGATGGTGTAAAAATAAATCACCAACCACAAATTTTTTGGACGTCTTTTGTTATCTTTTATCCGACCCTGGGGCCTCTCGACACTTTACCCTTCAACAACTGATCTATTGTAATCTACTTAATCTATTAGAAACCTTCATCTACCTTTAAAATATAAAATAAACTGAAAATTAATGTTTTTATATTTAAGTATTTTTAACCATGAAGCCTATGAATTATGCAGCACTAAACATACTCATTCCAAGTTCAGCTAGTTCTTGTTGAAGTTGTAAACCTGTCAGTCTTTCATCCATCCATCCATCCATCCATCCATCAATCATCATTATCAATAACCCTGTAGCTCTTTATCCTGTTCAGGGTCATGTTGGGTCTTCCACCTCAAAAAGGTGGGCAGTAGTGGCTTAATGGTTATGGACGTGCACTTGTAATTGAAAGATTGCAGGTTTGAATCCCCAACCAGCAAGACACCACTGAGGTACTCTGAGCAAGGTACTGTCCCCAAACACTGCTCCCCAGGTGCTGAATTAGCTGCCCCCTGCTATGTCACAATGTCACATATGGGTTAAATGCAGAGGACACATTTCGTTGTTGTGTGCTGTGGTATGTCAACAATGACCACTGATCTCTAAATTCTTTAGAAAATTAAATTCCTATGGCTCCATGCTGGGTTACATACAAGATGGACTGCTGTCTGTATTCAATACCCAATTTCTCAGTTTCTCTTGCAGAAAAATAATATTTCCCCATTATGAACCTATGCTATAAACACTGCAGTACTTCATGGGTGTCGATGAGGCATGGATTCACTTACATATTCAGAGGGCCTAGTACTTTATACAGTAGGATCTCCAAATCCTAAAATCTATCATGTGACAAATTCTGTCTATATACTTTGGTACTCCTTCAAATGGAAAGTTGAAGGTGCCAACCCTCGCGGGGGGCTTAAGGTGACATTTTAACAGGGGACCCAGAATTTGTAGCTACTGTACACTAATGGTGATGATATTTTACCATTATGTGTCTCTTCATAGCTAAAAACATTAACGTTAATCACCATTAAGTATTCTACTACTTAGCCTTCTGCTATAGATATAATAATCCTGTACCTTGTTATAAACTGGCTTGTCCATTTGTAAATGTATAGCAAGGAACTAGGCATGCATTGTGTTTTTTGGCCAAGCTCAGGTTCATCAAGACCCTTAAACCCCAATTTCTCCAAGGACTTGCTCACCCTGCTTTCTCAAAAACAAAATCTACGTCACTTTGAATAAAAACCTTTGCTAAATAAATGAAATGTAATTGTATTGCTGTCTGCTATCAGCTATCTGTCAGGGATTGTGAAGTGCATGCACTGTCGCCTACATACATGTTACTGACACTTTTAAAATGAACCAGCTTCCTGCATAGTTTTGCAAAAATGCTGCATCTGTATATTTTATTAGCTTACCTAAGCGTGGCCATCTCACAGCCTTGCAAAACCCCTACTCTCTAGTCTCTGAACTTGGTATATGTGTATGACTGCTGTATATTGCTCCTCAGGTTACTATAGGGTTACATTCCGATAAAGCTATCATAAAGTGAAAATATCGTAAGGCAAAAACGCATTTTAATACACTACACTTAACCTAACAAACATCATAGCCTAGCCTAGCCTAGCCTAACATACTTTAAACATGTTTACATGCTTACAAAGACTTACATTAGTCGAATATCTCATGTAATTCATTGACTAATGTACTGAAAGTGAAAAACAGAATGATTGTATCAGTACTCACCATTAATGTAAACCGTTGAAAGCACCCATCGTAAAGTTGAAATATCGTAAAACGGCTCATCGTAACCCGGGGAGCGTCTGTATTTATATATGTAATAAATATTTCTACAGACATACACTATATATGCGTAAAATATGCCACACTACATTATATTTGACAACTTTTTTTCAAAGTGAATTGTAACAGAGAGAAGGTTACAACATGCATTTCTGGGATTTGAATCAGAAACCCTTTATAACCATTCAACATGCTATTTGTTGAGCTACATTCACACTAGGATTTACTTGAATTGGTCCCTCAGTATTGTTCTTTGTTTTTATATCACTTGATTGTGTGCTATATCCTGCATTTTAAACAATGGCTTGGGCCTCTTTTCTTGAAACCGAAATCAATAATACATGAAGTGAAGGACAAAACTGAGAGTGCTTTCAGGGTCGAGTTATAAAGTTTCAGCTGCAGGAGGATTTTCTCGTAAATGGTATGATACAAAGGACTGTAGTTTGCCCATGATAGGGTGGCGGGGATGTGATAAGAGGGCTTGTCCACCTGGTGCTTAAATCCAGTTTGAGTTTCATCTAACGTTAAAAAACAGTATTCATGCACAATTTGCTTGCTAGCAAACTATGATCTACCTTGCGCCGAAGTTAATGGCATTTCTAATTAACAAATCATCAGCCATGTGCAGTAAGGCAGCGATTCTCAATGATGTTCACTTGCCTTGTGCACCTCACTTTCTGGGTTCCAGGCTCACTATGACTCTGCACTGAAGAAGTAATTATGGAAGATGAATGGATGGATAATTCACATTAATAGTTCCTACAGTAAATCATGGTGCAAAACAGGCAATTCCAGATCTTACTTAAGGGAGAATCAGCCGCACTAATTTTTGTATCCGGCTCCCTGAAAATACATTTAGAAAACGAATATGCTCCATGGGCCCCGGAGTAATGGCTGACCCTGTGTTCGAACCCCAGGCCACGCTCTCAACTGTTTGTTTATGTGTGTGTGTGTCTCAAAGCATGATGGGAAATGGCAAAAAGAGTATTCCAATGTACCTGAACTCATACTTTATGTAGGACAAATAAAGGATCAATTCATTCAGTTAATTCTTTTTACATTTAACAAATTTTCTCCATATTTTCACGTACATTTATAATTTTTTTTCGTTTTTTTTTTTATCGTTGTGGACCCAGGGGTGGAATCCCATATTTTTTCACATGTAAAGTCCCCATCCTACTAGGGGCTGAGTCCCCAAGGATCAAATCCTAAATTGACCATGGTACAAATTTGATAAATTAACTACATATATGCATTATATAGTATTAAAAGTTTGTTTGCAGATTTACTTCCTTAATAAATAATGATGAATTAGTCTGATCTTTTTACAAGCAGTATACTCTACTTTTTAGCAGTATTCCTCGGTAATATATAATACAGAAAATATTCAAGACACATAATATGAAACAATACAAAACAATCATATATTCGGAATTTAAGAATGCCGCCATTACGCACAACATGAACTACACAGTATTTTGCAGTAAACACAGGTATGCATTGCTTTACTTTGGCTTGAACAGTTGGCAGTGAGATGCATTGTCATGCACCATCATGTAAGGTGATAGCGGTTAGCAGCTTTATGGAATTCATTTCTGCTAACGGGGGTGCTATAATGCAAGTTAACGCTTGAATTCAGCATCTTGTCAGCAATTTATTTCAGGAAGTGTGTCAGCCTCATTTCTGATCATTGTCAAACACATGACAATCAGTTAAACCACAAACAGCGTTTAAAAAATGTCCGCTGGCAGGTGATGAAATGCAGGAACGAGGCTGCATTTGGGTTATCATTCACATGTGTTAACTGTGGTGATTATCCCACCCATCATGTCCTTGCAGTGGATTACTGCTATACAATCTGTCACAAAATGTAAATACCGCCCAAAAAAATGTGTACGCATTTCACTCCATATTACTTTTCTTTGCCTTGTTTAGTATGAAAGGTTGAATTGCCATACAGTACAATATATGACCCTTTTATTTCCAATTCTGGACATGCTCCTGGTCCAGGGATTGGCACATTCTAGCAATAATTGGTTGGATGCAAGTTGTAAGTCTTAGGCAATACAATATATAATATATATTTCTATTCTGAATATTGTATCAGACATTAACAGTGAACCAAATTCTAGTATGCCTCCTATCTGATACATTGTGGGTGTGTAGTTATCTTTTCAGTTGTTACTGTGGGGGTTTGCGGAAAAACACCAACAAAAATGCTTCTGTGGTTTAC